GTGATTGATCTGAGTCTTCTGGGCCCAGCACATACCTTTCTATTTTCGATTGGTACTGATCCTGCTTCTTGGGGGTGGGGGACTCAAAGTCGGTCTCCCTTTAATATCTGTAAACCTATCACAGAAAGATATTCCCCCTGGCTTCGGCCGCAAGACAGTGATTTGAGCACTGATGGGTGTACTTTGTTTAGTGTCACCCACAGTGTAGATTGGATGGATTTTGTAAAAGATACCATTACTTTAGAAGAAACATACAATTTGACAAGCGATTGCATTTTACCTTCGTTTTATTGCTGCGGTTTTCATCACAGTCATTGTTTTTTAACTGTCCCTAAATGGCTCATTTTCTTAGTCTGTCACATCAGTATAGCTATTTACTGTTTATAAAGCAATATGCACTTACAGGTTTGGGAGATGGTTTGGGCTCTGAGGGTCGCATGTGCAAGTGGGTCATCATCGCTTGAAGACGTTCGCGTTCCTTAGAAAGCTGTTAAGAAAGAGTGAGATCAGAGGCGTTTTAGAAATGACTGATCCAGCTATTTTATTGCAGCGATACATCTTATCATTGAGCTTGTCTCCCAGTAATGATTCCTGCATATAAAAGCCTGGGATGAGAAACTTAGCTGGGAGGAAAGGCAACTTTAGCTAGAGAAAGGAGAAAACTTTTTGTAGCTTTTCTTATGTTAAAGGTCAGGGAAAACAAATAACACTTCATCTTTTTGTCAATAAGAGAATTGAGGTCACAGTTGCTCCGACAGTAACAAGTTACCGAAACCATAAATTAGAAGGCCCATGGTGTCTCTTTAAAGTCCTGTGGACACTGTTAGCAATGGACTAGTGCCGACAGCTGTGAAGGGGTGAAGGGTTCTCAAAGCGAAGTGCCTGCCAGGATTATCTACAGACTTCATGCATTCCCACCGAGGTCCAGTTAGTGCCCCCTGCAATCTGCCATCATCAATCTAATTCAATAGAGTGACAGAGACCAGGCAGTGTGAAACGCTGAACTCTGCCACTGAGTCTGCATCTACACTTGCACTGGGTCTCATTACAACTGACGGACCTTACTTTCCATCAGTCAGACACAGGAGAGAGAGAGAGAGAGAGAGAGAGAGAGAGAGAGAGAGAGAGAGAGAGAGAGAGAGAGAGAAATTGGTAACACTCTGCAGACCGAATCATCAGCTGACCTCTTATGTTTTAGTCTACAGTTTAGCAATGGTAAACAGATCTATGTAGCCAAAGCTTTCAATGCTACTATGACAGTGATACACAGTGATACAATATTACATATCCCTTGTTATTTTGCAACTTAAACGTTTTCCCTTCTCTGGAGAAAGGAACAGCATGATGGATTGGAAACAGTGTAAGGTGTAGTAAATAAAATAAAAACCAAGTTAAATGTTTAATTAAACAAAACAAAAAGTTAGTTTTTGGAAATATCTTAAAGATGACATAGGAGAGGAAGCCTTAAAGGAGTGCCAAACCTAAACAAAACTAAAATCTGAGTTGTTACTGCTTTCTGGGGTCTTAAAATTCTGTTTATTTTTAGCAAAATTATTTTACTTTTAAGTTTGGAAAAATACACCTTTGATAGAATTTTTACAGTATGTATAACATACTATGTACATTGTTTGTCACTGTGTCAGCCAAAGACAAATTCAGTATTGTAGGTCTTAAATTCTAACCACAGTATACACAGATATCAAGCTATTCTTCAGTTCACTCACACTATTATAAAAAGTATCACGTTTGTTGTAGTGTACAGTCCTTTGACAAGGAGGATCCAGATTAGCTTGTATAAAATCTGTGCAATAATGTCATAACTTATGGGAGTTTATGTCTACTGTATTGGATCTACAATAGAAAGACTATAGATTGGAAGTTTGAGGATATCTGAATATATACAACAGGACCTGAAGTTTACTTAGGTCCAACTGATATAGAAAGTATAGGACTCTACCCTGTTATCAATTGTTGTTATTAAAAATAACTTAAATTCCACATATTCGAACAGGTATTGTGTTATCAAGACAATAATGATGTAGCCAGGAAGATCCAGCCACTTGCTCAGTACTCAGGTTAGCACACCAGAACTCTGAGAAGGGTGCACATCAAGGGAGCATGTGACCAACCTGTATTTCTAATTGCTGTACCACCTGCATTTGCACTCGACACTGGGCAGTGCTTCGGTCATCCAATGCATGCTCATTGTTAAGGTGCCTATAAAACATAAGACATGAGACAGAATGAGAAGTGATGTTGGCCCAGCAATATGTGCCTGACTGAATAGGCACTACCTCTACAGGGCACTTGTGGATTTCTCTGCAGTGCTAAAGCTGAAAGCCTGGCAGCCCTAGAGAAAGAAGGCAAATGTGTTTCAATGTTTAGGGAAAATTATTTGTGTGATACAAAGAGGCTCTTCAAGTAGCAGAAAATATCATTGTCTCTAAGCTGTTGTTACAAAAACATTTCTCCATCCTTTTACAGAGCACAAGTAGTAGTCATGATGCATTATTTCCCATGCTTTCAGCATCTTCTTTGTAAAGACTAGTGTGTGTGTGTGTGTGTGTGTGTGTGTGTTTGAGAGAGGGGGAGGATAGCAATTTTCTACTTCATTTGTATTAAAAAGATTGCTTGTATGTTGATTTTTAGTGAGAAATATCTTAAGCCTGGATGTGGTCTGAATTATATGAGGGTGGTGGGGTTTTCCATAGAAATATCCATAACCACAATTAATGATAGTGTTCTGTTACTAATACATAAAATATATTGAAGATTCAGAGTAATAAGTTTGATGTTTCTTGTAAATAGTCCTAATTGGGATGTATATATGCCATACATAAACATAGTGAAAAAAAGACAACCTAAAGGTGTTACTCTAATCTTAACATGTGTGCTTATTATTATACTCAAGGGCTGAAGATGTCTCCAATACATGGTATCTAACTGTGCCAAAAGAAAACTAATGCAACAGCACTTTCAATAAGCATGAAAATATCCAATAATTTTTGCTTTGTAATTTATATTACATTATTTATTTGATGACTTCCTCAATTAATAATTTTCAGGTAATTCAGTTCCATTTGGTATGTCTACTTAACCCATGGGTAAATGAAGACAGCAATTTAAGAGACACAGAAAGTGAAAAGGTTTATTGAACATAACACATAATTAGGAAATCATATCTTTACATATATATATTATATATATATTAATATCATTTAAAATATCTCTAAAGCCTTTTCTGCAATCTGTAATTCTGAGAATGCTGAATTAAAAATTAATTGTGTTCCCTTTTTATCTATGTGTCTTAGAGCAGTAAATAATGCATAGACAGATGCACTTGCAATTCAATATGAAGACTTAAGGTATCAATGACTCAAAGCTAACTTGTAAAGAAGTAGATTATCTGTTAGTAGATCTAGGTTCAGCCATCAGAAACCTTTGTTCTTTTCTACTCCAACTTCGATAAACTAGGCCAGTTTGTTTTAACACTTTCTTATTGATTATAGCAACAAAACCTCCATGTATCTTGCTATAATTGCCAGGCTTGGCTGATGATAAACTGGGGACCAAAATAGTGAGGTGGATCAGGTCAAGCTAGAGTTGTGTGACCAGAGCACATGAGAGGTCTTTCCCACTTCTGTCTGCTCTGGCTTAGCTCCAGCAGGATCTGCTAGAAACCTGGCTATAATGAGGACTAGGATCATTCAAGGTCTCTGAGAAGAAGGCATAGAATGCCAGAGTAAGCCAGGGTCAGTGAGTGGTGTAAAATATCACTAATTTCTAATAAACAAGACAAGCATTAAAAAATAGTCTTCAAGATTTTGTCCCTCAAATTTTAATGAAGAGCAAAGCAATGTCCTGGCAACATTAACAATAATTTCTTGCATCCCTATGGTTTGGTATTGTATTTTTGTGAAATATTTTTTCCACCAGCAACTCTTAGGGAAAACACACATAATTTATACTGCAATCAGCCTAAAAGATGCATATTTTTAAAAGGCTATACATAAAGATTAGGATATAAATAGAGTCCAGGAGATAAATGGATGATGCAGTTTTACCTGAAAAGGTATATTCGTTTTAACACATATTTTTTGCATGAAACCCTTTTTTTTAAAAAAAATATACTTGTTTACTTCTTAGTGATAATTATCTTATATTAAAACAACTTTAAAAAAAAGTACAATATGTTTGCATTATATTCTAGGGTCTTAGAGACCTATTCAATTTATCTCTGCAGCTTTTATTAGAATAGAGACTGGAGACTACAATAATAGTCAATGAGGTTTTGTCTTGATTGAATTTTTCAGTGGAACACAAAAGAACCTTGCCATTAAAATAGTCCTTTATTCTCCTGTATGAAGGCGAAAGGTTTTTAAAGTGTTGTGATGTTCAGTAATGAGCCTCTATCTAAATTATCATTGGTGACAAACTCACAAAGCACTTTTCGAGGACACATAGTTATGAAATGCCACGGCTGCCACTTTCTTTCCTGTAATTATAGGCTAGCTTGCAGCCCTTCAATGATCATTTATAGAACAGCCTCCAGTGGATTACTGAGAACTTGAAAAACACATACATACCTCTGCCACATCTCCCTTATCCTTTTTCTGCTATTGTTTACCAGTGATATGTAAAATAATGGTGCCTATTCACTCCCCCTACTTAATTATGCCAATCAAAGTACAGAAATAGAGTTGGATATAAATACAGATCAATAAGACCAAATAAATAGGCTAAGTATTAACATTAAATTATGAATTTATGTATTTATGACTATTTTGTGCTCAAATTATTCTCTTTTATGTTTTTCTAACCATCTCAGGTACTACATATTGCTGTTCAAAAATTCTTTATGATTTATAAATCAAGGATGAGATAATGCTGAAAAATGAGAGGATTGGTGGATTTTTGCAGTCAGTGCCTAATTGCTGTTTCAAAATGCATATGCAAAGGGACATTTCATTAATCATTTAATCATGTCCCTCGCAGGAAGTTGGAACTAATGTTGCCAATACCCTTTTTTATATGAATTCTCCATGATACCATCTTGCGCATTTGATATATTGCCTATGTCATAAATTATGGGTCCTTACAAAGAACCAAGTGGGGTTGTTATCCCAGAAGATGCTTGTTAGAAATCCTTTATTAACTTTCTTGTTTTACTTATTGCTAGTTCTATTTCACAGCTTCATACTAGCCACCAATAATGCTTTCTAGTGGCAAAGGTCTGTAAATTACCCATGCAATCACTAACACCATTTCACAGGCCTGTTCTACGTCTACTGGTCTGCTAACAAGGCGATTACACACAAATTACTGAATGCCTATGAAATATTTAAATGCATTCTACTCTACTATGCATTAATAAGAGCAAAGCAAGCTCTGGAATTCTGGTTAGCTCCAGTCCCTAATGTCCCCTAATGAGCCTCTTACGGAGACTGCAGTTCAAACAGAGAGGTGAAGAAAAAATGCAAAGGGGGCCTTCAGAAATGCAGCGCAGAGCAAACATCGTGGGAGACACTTCTAATTTATGGGTCACTTTATAGCTATATTGATTTTTGTTTTCAAAATGGAATAAATGATGTGGCCGGCTGATGTTCTTTCAGAACTGCACTGAATCTCGGTGCTAGGTAGGTAGTGTGAACTACAGAAAAGAAAATGAATACCCAAACAAACAAGCAATAAACAGTCAGCCAAGGTCTTTCTAAAAACAATTAAACAAATATTTCAGGAACACAGAAAGTATGGGAGGGGGGATCTTTACAATTTATTTGTTTAACACAAAATTCCCTTCCACGAAGCTATTATGGTTATGGATGCATGTGGATACTTCAATTATACACACTGCAGATTAGCAATTCAATTTTTAACCTCTAGATCTTTTTCAAATTTATTTAAAGTTATAGTATTTATAAGCTAAAAAAAAGGAAATGTGCTTAAATCCAATTGCCTCAGAGATGGTTTGAACAAAATGTTTCACTTGCACATCACTGGGAGTTGATTTATTTTGCATCAAGCTTTTTACGTTTAAGCACTGACAGGAGTTTAAATACAAAATGTTAGCTGTCACTATTCATTTAGCTGATTACGTGAGATGCCTTAGTTTTGAAAGATATGGGCACTGTCACCAAAAGAAACAACAGTCTGACAAGTTCAAAGAATGCCTCCTTGAGGTCATAATTTTGTAGCCATGCTGCCTAGTGAAAGACAAAGAAATAGACAATACACACTAAGTAAGAACATAAATTGTCGACTAGTCAGCTGCAAGAGAAAGAAAAACAAATTTCCACTAAATAAACGAATAGGTTTCCACCGTTTTCCCTGTTGCTCATTCTGCAGCATCAAGCCTTAAAGAAACCAATCACTAGCAGGCTTCATCATTCATTTTCATTGTTGAATTAATCTTTAGAATGCTCATAGGTGTATAGAAATTTTAAAGAACACTACTCATTGTGACTTTCTCAAAGGACAGTACTTCTGGTGCTGCATCTCTCCATTTTGGCACCCATGTGGGCAAGTTCAGGAACACTTGTCTGCTAACTGGAATGCTACAACTCTAAACCTTTTGGCGTAAGCTCTGAAAGTCAATACATCTATATTCAAGCTGACTTTAGTGCAATGTGATGGTAATTAATTCTGCAGTCAAACTACACTAAAGTTTTGTCAGATGTGATTACACTTTGACAATTAAAAGACCGCAATGAAGAAGTAGTACTAAATGCTTTTAGTGATCTTCTGAGAGCCTCAATTACTGGTCAGAAAAAAAAATGGTTAAATTCCGTCAATTTTCACTTTCCTGTAAAGTTGAAAAAATTTCTCCTCAAGATTTTTAGATTAGATTTTGACTTGTATATTTGTTTTCATCTATTACTGTCACAATTTCTGTATTAATTTTCATTTTTATTCAATATAAAAATATACCTTTCTTGTTAATTAATGTGTAGATAAAATTAAATTTCTGAGAATGAGAACCTGATACCTGGGAACATAAAGATATATATGATGATGAGTCGACTTTTTCTTGAATAAATGAAGTACTTCATTAATAAAATATTTTTATTTCTTTTCAAATTTATCACATATCTTTAAGAAAAAGATAATACCAATTCAGGAAATAGGTCAAATTAAATTTTCATTTCAGTGTAGTATATTGGCTTTAGTAGGAGCAGAATCTATCACAGTTCTTTGAATTAGAAAATTTAAAGCAGATGCTATTAAAAATGGGGTAGAAGGAAGACTGTACAGTCTACTGTCAGTAGTCTGTCATCAATATAAAGCGAAAGGATAGAAATGCCTTTGAAACCAGGGTTTATATGTAATTGAAAGAAAATGCTTTTTAAATTATAATTTCTCCAGTTAAAAACAAACAAACAAACAAACAATCAAAACAAACACCAGGGTGATATGAGAAAAAACCATCGAAAATAAAAAGAGAGAGTTCGTACTCATTCACTAGTTAGTGATACAAATTAAACACCTGAGATGCATGAGAAATGGTCTTCATGTGTCTTAAAGGAAGCCATGCTAAAGGAGAGAAATGCAGTTTCCCTCAGAAAATGACCCAGACTTTACTTAAGAAATACTTAGAGTAAGTAAATACCTGCCAAGCAGGTAGTTTTAAAAATACAGTTATCATTACTAGGGCATAGTATCAGTCACCCTAGAAAGGAGCTCACTGAAAGCAAATGTACCATAATGCTGGAGGTAAAAATTATGGAATTATTGTTAAAATAATTTACATTCTTAGATTATTTTAGTGGTAGAAACTTCAGCAAAGATACCTAACATCTTTTAAATACCCTTTTTGGTGGGAATAGTATAGCAAATTTCACACCCAGAAAGAAATCTGGCAGCTCACAGTTGGTTTGGTATAACAGACATGTAAATTTTCATTTAAGTCCATTTCTAAAGAGCCATTGTGATCTGTGAAGCAAATTTTCTCTTAATTGGTTTGAAACTATATAAAAAAAATCTTCGTGGAAGTCTTCCTGTAATCATTTATAAAGGTATTATGATACCAAGTGCTTGCCTCGTTGTTAGGGTACTTCGGCTCTGTACTCTGCAGTCGGTCTGCCATTTGTAAACACATCTTTTTGATGTTTCTGCCAACATCCTGGCAACAAAGCAGTGCAATTTCAAATGAGCTAATTAACTTAATTGTTGATGAAGCATGAAACAGTTCATTCACCCTGTTAGCTGCACCATGACAACAGAAGAGGCTGAGCCTGCGAAGACACTCATCTTCATAAACCTATCTGGAGCTCCCTGTTCAGATCTTCCCTGGACCAATACAGGGAGCAGAAAATCATCCATGAAATGAGGATCCTCTCATCTGCAGGAGAATCCCTCAAGGAGCCTTGAAACTAAAACATTGTAGGGAGATATAAAGAATGCACAGGGTTTGATTTAGCGCTGGAGAAATTGTATAATCTGCTTTCCAAATACACCACCATGAATGGCAAAGGCGACAACAGGAAGGAAGTGTGGTTGCTGCGTCAAATGTTCGAATCACCGACTTTCATTTTTGATCCTTGTTATTAAATGACATTATTGGAAGTGGATATACAGAATCTGCTCCTTTAAACAGACCTACAAACTATGCCTATTTTTATTTCATTTAGAGAAATGGTATGCTTATTCAAATAGTACATGAATTTTTTTATTAAAAATTTCAATTTCAAAATAAAAATTTCAATTTTCAGAGAAAGCTCTTTTGCAAACCTCTTTCATAGTGGTTAAAACCACTACCATGGCAGGCTCATATTTCCATTGAAAATAGTTTGCAAAATGCTTTCATAAAAAATGAATATGACCTATGGACATTTTTTAGCCTGATTTTTCCAATCCACTTGTTGAAACAAACTGAAAACTCAGTCTGCTCAAGGATGGATCATCTTCTCATTCCTCCTTCAGTTACTGTTTATTTTACAGCAGTGTGGCAAAATTCTCGTGTAATCTGTCTCCCCTTCCCAAGAATAGTTAAAACCTACTTCAAAAACTGTCCAAAATCTTCACATATGCTTTCACAGCCTGGCCACTTGCAGACTCCATGGCCATAGAGTGTGTGGGAGGCCCCAGTCTCCTCATGTGACGAGCTGTAGCAAGAAAACACAACGTCAGATTCATCTCAGAAAGTCATAATCGTTGCAGGCTGCTAGCGCCTGTCAGGTTACGATCAGTGACAAACAGGTCAAAACAGGTCAATTCAGCTCAGTGCAGTCAGAAAAATTTAATCGTTCTATTGAATAGTTCAACTGCCAAGGCTAGATGATGTTCCAATTAGAGGAGAAATAGAGCCAAAGATGACTGTTAATAAAGGATGAAAGACTAAGAGGGCTCTATAATATCATATGCTAATCCTGCCATATGACCTGACTGTAACATTTTACCTCTAAATAAAAAAAATTATATGTATATGTAGTCTTATGTTGTGGAGTGGGAAAAACATATTTTAAAGAAAGCTATATGAAAATGATCATAATATTTTTTCAATACTTCTTTAAAGTGCAGTATGAATGATAGGATCACTTAAGCCAAATTCATGGGCAAACCATATATGTACATATACACATATACATACATATACATACATACACACATATATATACATATATATATATATGTATATATATATATATACATATATATATATATGTATATATATACACACACAAATTCCCTAGTAGATATAGTTGATTTGTAAAATCCTGCTCTGGAACAGTGTTTATTAGCAATATTCTTTCATAATTATGGTAGGCCTTTAATAAGTTGGTACAATATAAGATAGAGAGATCCTACAAAAACTATCATATTTCTGAAGTATATAATCATCAAATTAATCTCAATTAAAACAACAGCATGAAAACATCCAGAAGCATAGCATTCTGTAATAAAAACTATGATGAAAATCCACATGTGTTCAGATAAAGGGGAGGAACATTGCCACATTTTGGTCTTCTATTTTAAACAGTGCTGTAATTGCTTTTATGTTTCTTTGATAAAAAAAGTATGGCATCAAATTTGCCCCAGCTAGACAAATATGTTATTACATGATGATATCACCAATCTACTACATATTCTTTTGGGAACAGAGTAGTTTGTGTGTGTAAGCCATTTCATTATAAAATTCTGTACCTCATCTTCAGATTTTAAAAACAACTTTTCTCTTTTAGAAATTCTTAGATTATACAACTTATGTAAGTTATTTGACAAGATCTGACTTGGAAGTATTGTGCCTAAGCAGGTGGAATTACGTTATAAAATATAGCTGAGCTGAGCAGTGGTGGCTCTTTAATCCCAGCACTAGGGAGGCAGAGGCAGGCGGATTTCTGAGTTCGAGGTCAGCCTGGTCTACAGAGTGAGTTCCAGGACATACAGGGCTGTACAGAGAAACCCAGTCTCAACAAAACAAAACAAAACAAAAACAAAACAAATATAGCTGGATATTTCTTATGGAAGCTCAGTTTTAAAGAAAATAGACAGAACTCTAGGCTAAAACACTAAGATGGGAAGTTATCTCACACAATGTAATATTAGCAACCAAAGCCCAATGACATTCCTGTATACATTCCCAGTTAAATTTATTTTATTAATCATCAAAGTGTATTCATTTCACTATATTCATTAATCCACCTCAAGCAAAAACACTTTTAAATTTCAAATAATTAAAAATGTGTGCATCACGCACGTTTTTCCTTAATTCACATTTCAAGTGTGTCCTTAGAAATTAGAAAGTAATTGAACATTATGTAATCAACAACATAGAACACCAAAGTTGCTTTTGTATTGTTGTGGCACTATGGGATTAGTGAATGTCCTCATAACTAGAGTTAATTCATAATATATTATTTATCAGAATGCTTCAATATAACCATTCTTTGTACATTCATGGAAAATTTAATTTCTTTAGGCGTGCTCTGCATTTATATCTAGTACACTGGTAGCGTTTGAAGCCGTCTTATAAAGGAATCACAAAGGTCAACAATAATGGTTTCTACTTCATTTGCTCTAAATACAGTTTTTGTCCCTGTTCATTTTTAGTTTTGCCCACAGTAGTGATGAAAGGCGGGTGAGCATACAGTGCTGCAGACTTACCTGTCCCGCCTTGCATTCAGAACTGAAGACTGTCCATTCACTATGGAATGATGCGTTATCGGTGGTGATGCTTTGGAAGTGGTGGAGGAGGTAGTCGAGGAGGAATTGTTAGTTGTGAGGTCTAGCCCTCCATGCTTAATGCCGTTGTCTTCCATACTATGGACTCCAGTCACTTCTTTCCATAGCTGCTGAATCTCAGCAGGACTTAAGCCAGCTATAAAATGAAAGAAAATCCCAATGATATAACACAGCAACATATTCATGGGCTTCCGAAAGGATTATAACCAACATTAATGCATGATAAAAATACTCTTGTGCCACAAATACCAAAGTTTTTTTGTTTGTTTTGGGTTTTTTTTGGTTTTTTTGTTTGGTTGGTTTTTTGTTTGTTTGTTTGAATCCCAAACAACATGTTATTTATTTTAAAACAACAATTTGAAAACAGTATTGAGGAGAACAGGTTTGGGAAATATATGGTTCATGAAAAACAACCTACTAATCTTTTATTTATGAATTAAAAGAAGAGGGGGTGGCAGGGAGAGAAAGAGAGGGAAAGAGAAAGGGAAGGAGAGAGGGAAGAGATAAGCAGTTACTACTGGTTGATAAAAAACTCTGCTTCTTATTTTAAACAATTTCCTGGTTCAGCTTCTTTGTGTTTACCTGAGAAACAAAAGTGGGACCAGCAAGCTACGTATGGTCTTTTGATTTTGACTATTATTTTGAAGAAATATTTTGAAGTATCTTAAATGACTTGTTTTGTTGTTGTTGTTGTTTTAATGCCTGCATGCATTGTCTGTGCTCACAAAGCTTAAACACATTAAAATTGCAATTTAAATTTAGGCAACCCATTCCTAACACAAATGTCACCTCTAATTGATAAAACCACTTGCAAATGAAAATTTCGTTTTCTGAAAGGGACTTTCACAGGGGAAACAAACCAGTCTTAAGGGCAGACCATATGCCTAGCTGTAGATGGCTAAATGAACTCAATCATATCGTTGGGTGTTCTTTTTCTCATAAAGATGTGTAATGGCATTTTTTGTGTGCATATATATCATGAATTCTGGTTTTGTGTTTCTATGGGATTCCTGTGTGTGAATGCATGTTGTCCAACTATATATATTTCTTGTACTTTGTCTTCAGCTCTTTTTCTTCTGTTTCTTTGCTTGATTCCAGTCTGATTTTTTTGTTTTATTTTATTTTACTTTGTTTCCTTTTCATATTCATCCTTAGATGCTTGTTTGTATTCTAATCAGAAACAGGAAGGTTGGAGATGTATACAGAAGGAGGACAGAGGAGCGAGGGGGAGCTGGAGAGAAGAATCATAATCAAAATATATTGTATAAAATACTTTAGGTAAATTTATGAATAAATAAATAAATCAAAGAAGACTGACTTGAATGAATTTGCTCTTAAAATACTTTATTACCAAAATATCAATGTGACTAAAGAAAATTCTAATAGAAGAAATGAAGCTCTAGTTTTAATTACTGTCATTTATTGAATGCATAATATATTCTGAAGCTTTAGCAAATGGTTTATATTCCTGAATCCAGTGACCTTCACTGGAAGTCAGGACTCATAATATACAGGTAAGCACAAGATCCACCTTCCAATGACCCTTAGCTCCAAATACTGTGCTCTGTAATTCTATGTTGTGCTACCTCTAAAATAATAAACAGGCACAGGGATCAACCAGCAATACAATCAAAGTGTAGCAACACCAATGGCTGTGGTGATGGCCATCTATCAAATCATGTGCAGGGAAGGGTTTTCTGGACCAGCAAGGAACACTAGAGCTAGCCAGCAGAGGATGTAGGGGAAAGGAGTAAGAACTCTTCTCTATAGAAAGTAATAAATAGTCAGTGGCCAGCATTCCCACTGGCCCAGTTGTAACTCTTTGCCAAATTATACTTCACAATGGTAACTCTAAATTGCCATTCATATGACAATTTCAGATATTGTTAGTTTATCCAAAGCTATCATTTTGGTAATTTTGGATCCTTAATATTTTAAGGAACAATCTGAGATAATAAAAAATGACAGGATAAAGTTGGCTTTCTAAAGCTATTTCAGAATAACTTTATATTTTTTTTCTGTTATGAAATGTGGTTTTCTAATGATACATATCATCTTTGTTGTAGAGAAAACTGTTTCATACAAAAATTATTAACTGTGTCTTTAATGATAGCATTGACTCAGAGTCATGACTCTTTTCTGACCATAACTTTTTAAGACCTGTCTGGGTCTGTAGGGTGTTCTAATACAGATCCCCAGAAGCAAAGCTCTTTCCTTCTCAGCATCTACATATCTTCAGTATCCCATACTGTTGCCTCCCTTTCCTGTTTCCTAAGTTTAGCCTAGACAGCTACAAGGGCTTCATGGTCTCTTCCTCCTTCCACCTGACTTGAATTATATGATTTGCTCATCCTACAGTAGACATAAATGATCTATTTCAAGGTAAATTAAGTCATGTCCATTCTCAGGCAAAGCCCCTCGGAGTGTTTTCCAACACTTAGATACAAAGCAAATGCAAGTAAAGCAAAATCAATCAATAGGCCAGCCCTTACTGTGGCCCCACAGTATGGCATTTCTTCTGTCTCTTGCCTGATCTCAGTTATCGTCTTCTCCACTTTTCTTTTCATTGTAGCTATCTGGTGCTTCCGTCCTGCTGTAAAACTTCATGCATGTTCTTACCTCTTCTCTGGCTATTCTTACAGCCATAGCTACTCTCTCTGGGGAGATGCCCAAGGCTTTCTCCTTTCCATTTCTTAGACATCTTGAAAATCACCCTCCCCCTTTCCCTGAGAGGCCATTGGCCATAGCTGCCACCGATGTCCTCCTCTGCCTTGTTTTCCATCATTTCTTGACTGTAGGGCGTACTTTTACTTAAAGAATATTAGCATAGCTTCTGCAGTTATGCAAACATTTGTCTGTTAATGGAGCGATGGCTCTTACTGTCTGTCTCTCCCTCTCAATCTTTCTTTACTCTCACCCGCTCTCAGTGTCACTCTTCGAAAGTTTGTCTGACAAGCAAGATCGCGTTTTTCTTTTGCTGTCTTGAAAACCTGTTGATTGTAACACTGAAGTTTGGTTGTCTTTAATGAAAACTGTATGTACAGACATTGCTACCTGTAAGATCAATGTCTAAAGAGTTACAGATGGTACTAATGATACTTGTTATACTTACTATAAAAGTACTTTGAAAGACTATAGTAGTTAGTGAATTTATTGCTACTTAGTTTATGTGATTTGTTGATAATTTGGTTAATTTAAGTATTTGCTTGCCTATTGAATGATTTTCATAGTTGTTTTTATCTTCTGTTCTTTGGATAGAACTTAGTGATATCCTCATGCTATATAACTATGTCAAGGGCAAGGTCCTTAGTAGGACCTCAAAAAGATTTGATGACTAACATGCTTACCATTAAGGCACTGTTTCTTAGTTAAATATAAGAAACTATAGTTTTCAGTTATTAAAAATGGTAGAGGATAATACAAGTAAGAAATTGTAGCTACCCAATTAGCTGGTGCATTACCATCATCTCAGGATAGATGCTTAAATTGTCCCATACACATGCTGATCACAGCTCAGAGCAGAACCATAGGTCTGGAGGCAGGATTAAGTTTCACAGTGATTCCAGAGTCCAAAGACTAAGGGTGAATATCAACATAGAAACTATCACCTTGCCTTTGAGATAAAATTTTACAGCTATCAATCACTTAAATCCTTCTTAATAGGCACAATCTACAATTATTAAACCACAGTCCAGTCAATTTGTACCATAGAGAATGTTTTAAGAGTTTGTAAGTCTTAAGGTTATTTTTTTCAACAGTAACATAAAGTTCTGTTAGATTCACAGTCTTCCAAGCTAGATATTTTGAGAGTTCTAGAGCTCTGTAATACGATCTGAGTGAAAAAAATTTGAAATGTCAAAAAAACAAACAAAAAATCTGGACTCAATTTTTACCTTAATATTTTCCATACATATTTGAAAAAATGATAAACCCATGCTGAAATTATATTAATTTATATTAGCATTTAATGTTAGGTAAAGACTTTAGAGCTTTAATTGATCTGTACCCTACGTTCCCAAACACAGTTCTTTGTTTTTTGTTGTTTTAAATTTGATATTACCATGTGAGCTTGTGAGGTCTTTCTAATCTTGCATGTTCTGAATCCAGCTTCTTTATACTTGTCTTCTGCTAAAACATGCCCCCCAGCAGCTTTCCCCATCCGCTGTAACAGACACCACAAATGCCCACTCGTCTATGCACCTACTGGTCTAAGAACATCTTAAGGAGATTAGTACACAGCTTCTCAAACCATGTCTGCCAGATTTTGGAATGATTAGAAATCATACTGATGGTGTGAGGCACTGGGCCCCATGGTGGCCATTGTTGGACACCACGGCATAGATTGCTTACATGACTGCAAACTTTGTACAAGGGGTTGGGGTGGTTTTCATTCTCAAGTCATTTCCTACATGATTGCTTCTTAGCACACTTCTTCTCTGTCTAAATGCTCTACTGTTTTGTCTGTTCTCTTCACTCAGAAGAGATTTTCAATTAACAAGAACATTAGTGCACTGGCAAACATATTCTAGGGAGCAATGGGTTAGAATATTAAAGAATGATAATCAACTTCTATCTTCAAAGAAGATGAGTCTATTTGTCTGGACCTATTTCAAAGACACAGATAAGTTCCTAAACACTCGTTTAAGTGTGTGACTTTAAAAGTTTGTGGCAACAGAACACTGGGCAGTATTCTTCTGCTTTTTAAATGATGACTTGAACCTGGTTCCTATTCACTGCTAGACTTAGAAAAAAAATCACTGGGGAAATCTTTCCTGAAGATTCAAGTGAATCACCAAGTGAGCAGCAGGTCATGTAGCAGGAAAGGCAATTTAATCATAATCTTTTGATCCTTTATTCTGAGTTTATGGAGTAAATGTAGTGTGCCAAGAATTGTGCTAGGTGTTAACTACAATCTAAGATTCATGTATATATTTTATAACCTTGAGGTAAACACACAATTTTCAGTGGTTGTCCTTATAAATGTTATGCTTATACTTTTTACATTAAAATAAGTGATATTTTAATATCCTTTCTTCCTCTATTTTCAGTAATTATTTTTTTAATGTTAGCTAATTTTTTAAGGTCTGAGGAGATGGCTCAGTTGATGAAGTGCATGCCATATGAACAGAGAACTTG